TCTGTCTGTCTGTCTGTCTGTCACGGTGAATCAAAAGACGAAATTTATGTGATGTTGAATCCAGGGGTCCAACCCAAGACCTCAGAAGTGAGAGGTGATTGTATACATTTTGATCATTTCACAGTACATCAAGAATAACTATATATTGTTGTGCGAGACGTTGGAATCTGCAGTTAGCTCCAAGGTTAAGGTAGGATGATCATGTTTAGAGCATTACGGGCACGAGCATGCGCACGTCCTAAATCGATGACATGCATAACAATAAGCTGTTTTGAGATCGAGAAAAAAGCTCGGTCGAGTTGCCATTGTAGTGCATCTTGGGGCTGTTTCAGGGAAGGAAATAGACGCCATCTTGGAAATACGTCCCTAAAAAAGCCCCACAATGCATTGTAAACCAGCTCGATCCAGTTATTTTCCCTCAACCTCAGAAAGGCTTATAGCAGGGTGATAATTAGATACTGGGGTTTTACAACACGGCCTTCAAGAGCCTTAGCTTTTGAAACAATTTACAATCAAATTTTCGCTAAGTTTTAAATTCTGAGATATTCTAGATAATTTTAAGCTTGTCGACATAGCAACGGTAACTAAAGGGAGTCGGAACAATGACTTGCTTTATCAAATATCGATTAGCCGAGACCACAAAAGGTCCAAACTTTCGTTACGGTCTGGTACCCCCTTTGTGTAATATAGAATTAATGCGTTGCTGGATAAAGCGTTTTCATGTGACGTCACATTGTACCAAAACGATACATTTTCTATCTTCCGGGAATTGAACTCTATTTTTATGCAAATACTGTGCAGGAAGTTTCTATTGTTTATGGCTGCCTTCTCAAGTGAGTGAAAAACGCTCCATAATTTCATGTACCAAGTACATTCGTAATATACCACTGAATGGCCAAGAYGAATTTCCAAACCCGATTTCGCTTAGGAGGTTTGAAAATGCTGTTGGTCCTCTTGATTCTACTCGTTTACTTCCAGCTGCTTATTTTCTGGTCGGTAAGTTCAAAAAAACACGATTACTCACAAAGTTTTCAAGAACAAAAAGAAGCCAAAGGAACCAAGAATCTTCAAGATATCACTTTAAATCATCGGGGGATTAATAAGATTCTCCAAACCCAAATGGTTTTATCGTATCAGCCTCGAACTAAAAGCTTTACGAAACAGAAAGAAATCACAACAGAAACACAAAAGCCACGAACTACAACCCTCCAACCCTCAAGTCCTACAACCCTCCAAGGGTCTACCAATAACTCGTCTGAGAAAACAACGCTTAAACACCTGTTCACAACCAAGAAATCTGCTGATATGGAGAATGATTATTATCCTTTTGTCGACTTTTCTTTCGTATGGCCAGAAACCATGCCAGATTTGAAAGGAGAAAGAGATTTTTTCCTAGTTGTTGTCGTTAATTCAGCCGCCCGAGGAGAAAAATACAGACTGCGTCGCGAAGCCGTCAGAAAAACTTGGGCAAAACATGTGACAAAATGTGAACTACTACAAAGTGCGAAGCTCAGAAATCATAAATGGATCTTAGTATTTTCGTTAGGAAAGGCAGGAGAATATGCTGATGATAAAGCAAATGCTGAAGAAGCCAAAATGCACAACGATGTTCTAATAGGTGACTTTGAAGATATTTATATCAACAATGTTATTAAGATGTTTATGGGGAAACTGTGGGTATCTTCAATGAATGTACGCTATATTCTTAAGACAGACGACGATGTTTATGTTCAAATACCTTCACTTATAGACTTCCTTGTGACACAAGGTTATCCTAAACCATTTTATGGAGGTGCGCCTTACTTCAACTTCAAAGTGGATCGAGACCCCGAGGGAAAATGGGCCATAAGCAAAAAATATTTCAGTGAAGATATTTTCCCTACTTTTTGTGCTGGGGCTTTCTACGTACTTTCCACAGATATTTTGCCTAAATTGTTTAATTATGTTCGTCGAAGGCGACCATTTCACACAGACGATGCCTATCTTGGGATTGCAGCTAGAGATATGAACATAACGGTCCAAAGAATCCCCGGCCTCTTGTTGGAGCCCTCTATGTCCGATATTTTGAGAGGCTTTGATGACTGTAAACTGATACAAGCGAGGGGATATGGACACGACGTAGATCCGCCGACAATGAACATAGTTTTCAATCGTTTAGAGGATCTTTGTAGAAAAAACTTTTCTTGCTAATAAAGAACATTTACTGGTATTTCTAGTTGAACGCGGCTCTCGACTAATAAACGTTTCACGTCACCAAATTGTACGCCCCAACACATTGGTTTGGCAGGTGAAAGTACGTTCTTATTTATCCGTGAACTTGTTGGAATTTGCGTGTGAACCTGTTGTGACTTCGCTTAGCCAATTTGACAATTTTTTGACATGGTTTTCTTAGTTATTAGACCTTTTGCATAAAAGACACGTGTCCGTTGTACCAAGACGTCCCACTTATCAAGCACCGTGATAA